CCGTCACGCCAAATATGCTCGCCCTTTCAGCCATGGGGGCGTTATAATGTGACGGTCAATCCCACTATTCGCTGGTAAAATAGTAGCCCAAGAGTTGGCGGTGGGTGGTGATGACTAGCTGCCTTCCCTCTAGTCTTACACTGCTAAATTAGGGACGGCTAGAGCAGATAGCCCTCGTGTAGCTTTGCGCGAAATTCAAAACAAACAACCAAAAATAAATTACGAAAAACAAAATCTCCTCTTTCTTTGTGCCTGAAGGGGAATGCCCCCCCCCCAAAACAAAGGTTGTTTGAAGTTGAATATTAGGCTCATCTGCAATCCTACCCCGTGTTTATTAAACCATAGTAGTACATTTCTCAAGAAAAAAGAAGATACGTTAAGCAATATGTTAGAAAAAATAACAATCGACATATTAGAAAAAGTCCTAGAAACATTTGCTATATCACTATTAAAATATTAACAATAACATATTGTTTTTATCTCATAATTTGATGTTTAAGACAGGTAAACAGAAGAATGTTAGTGTTAATTATCACGTATAACATTAAAATGTTTGGTCGTTTGTTTCAGGCTAATAAATCATTACACATGAAAACTATTTCCCCGAAACATCCTTTTCCTAAAGTTATATACTATTGATTGCTACGGACCTCGGTTGAATATTTATTGGAACTAGTTGACTGACACTTTGCACTTTTCAACGTTACTCATTAAACAGGAAATGACGTATTTGCAATAAATATCTTACAAACAGAATAATCAATTTAGAAAAGGAAACGTGTGATAGGAGAGTGACACGGAAAGCGCTGAAGAGTTTGTTGAACTCTTTCCTAACTAATATCGTCCGAAAAGAAAGTTTTGAAACTTGTTTACCAAGAACAAATATTAATAATAAAAAAGATGAGTAGCAGTGTTCCTGTTATACACTTGAAGCGTAGTAAGACAAGAATAAAAACGTTTTTCGTATAAAGAGTGTTTCGGAAAAATTGGCTCATTGTGTTTTTGTTTTTTCAAGGAAATGCAACAGTTAGTGGCAATCAGTACTATGTGAAACGTTTACAGCCCCGAAAAAATACACATACAAATTATCAATGTGTAACACAGTAACTTAAGTAATATGTACAATGAGTTGGTTTAACACCTCATCGTAGTTAGCCAGTGATTAGACACCGGACAGTAACTGGAGTCAAATATTTTAAGATTTTGTTTCTAATCCTCTAAATATATACATATGTATTAAACTTTCGTCTAAAATCAAACGAATGTTATTGTACCTTCCTTAGAACAAGATTTTGATCACCATTGTGTTAATTAAATAGACGTTTCTTATGTTCTTACTTATAAGGATTAAAGTATATTGTTTCATTATTTGGTTAACCTCGTTGTTAACGATATTTTCAGCCGTAATTCTAATAATATCTCACGAAGTTTGGCCAGTCTAAGAGTTTGAGGTTAGTCCTAAATACATATATATATGTGTAACAATGAAAAATAATCTCTGTAATAAAGGTTTTATAATAATAATAATAATAAATAAAAAGCATTAAAAAGTAATGACTTTCGATATACTAATTAGTACAACCAATAATGTAACTGAAAGTAACAATAAATAAACAATATTGCATATCTTGCTTGGGAAACACAGAAACACTAGCTGTTGGCTTGATCTACTGTGTTGAAAGTAAATTTCGTTGAGAAATGTCACCAAGTATAACATGCCTGATTTTTCTCCAATCCTCCCTGATACTTTTTGTTTTTTTATATACATTTTGGTGTTTACGTTTGTTTTGAATTTCGCGCAAAGCTATACGAGGGCTATCTGCGCTAGTCGTCCATAGTTTAACAGTAATAGACTAGAGGGAAAGCACCAACACCACCAACCGCCAACTCTTGGCATACTCTTTTACCAACGAATAGTGGAATTGACCGTCATATTATAACGCCCTCACAGATGAAAGGGCGAGCATGTTCATTGAAAGGGATTCGAAAACGCGACCTACAGATCGTGAGTCAAGAGCCCTAACTACCAGGCCATGCTAGGCCATACTGTTTAAAGCTATGTCGAGTTAGTAGCAGTACAACCGAAAATTGGCCCGGCATGGCCAAGTGGTTAGGGCGCTCGACTCGTAATCTGCGGGTCGTGGGTTCGAATCCCCACCAAACATGCTCGCCCTTTCAGCCGTGGGGGCGTTATACTGTGACGGTCAATCCCACTATTCGTTGGTAAAAGAGTAGCCCAAGAGTTGGTGGTGGGTGGTGATGACTAGCTGCCTTCCCTCTAGTCTTACACTGCTAAATTAGGGACGGCTAGCGCAGATAGCCCTAGTGTAGCTTAGCGCGAAATTCAAAACAAACAAACAATAATTACAAAGAACAACCGAAGACTAATGTTTATGAAGATACAAAATAATATTTGAACTGTCCATGAAATATAATAACGTTAAATGTAGGACAAAAAAATAATATACTCAACATAATATGATGTGTGTCTGACATTATCACTGCTACTTTAACTGATCTCTAACACTGAACAATC